GTCATCGTATCCCAATTGCGTGGATCGATGCTCATGATGTCAATCACTGGATTGTCTGGTCCAGACTCAAGTAGTTACAGACCGCCATCAAATAGCTGGAATATTGCTGAGTGCGGCATTAAACAATAACAACAACAACAACAAACCATACTAGTCAACTTTTCATAGGTATATTGAATAATGGATTCCTTTCATGGAATGATAGGAATATCCTTAGAAAAAGCTATGCATTATAGTGGAGAAAGAGAATTAATTATTTGTGTTAACCTGATATCAGTATGTAATCATTATGTGATTGTAATCAGTTAATTCATAGGCTGATAGTAGAACATCATTCATAAGGTGTCTGTCTGCCAAGGCAACCATATATAGAACCTTGCCTGGACCAGTCTGCCACCGTGGTCTGCGTGATAGAGCGTCGGCCCGGAGAGCAGGGGTTCGATCCCAAGATGTATCATTTCAAAAGATGGTACTTGTTACCCTGCATGCCCATCTACATAAGGGTCTAAAACAAGGATGTCAGTATACTGTATCTGAGTGGGGTATTTTGTTAAACTACACCTTGGTATCTCAGTGTGGCTAGCACTATAATGTTGACATTTCTACACACGCATACACACGTTGCTATGTAACTGCAATAATCTTGAATGTGATGTTACACCCAATTTCACCTCACCTTTAAGTATGTAGACATGTATTTATGTAGAGGGTGAGCTGCAGAACCTTATGATCCCATGGTGTGACATGTTTTATATACACCCTGTGACTTAGACAACCATGACTAAGGCTAACAATGAATGAATGCTCTTTTCAACTCTTTCTGAATTCACACAACCATTTAGGGAATCCTAGTCAACATGGGTCCCCAATACATCTCACAAGTTGTATGAGTTAACACAATGGGGATCAGATGGTTAGGCTCTGAGACTTGTGTCAATGTTCCCGATGACATGGGATGTTGGTTGTGCTTTTAGTTAGTGGATTGCCTGGCCTATATTATTTACAGGCTGCCATGATGTTGCTGGTTGTAGCTTTGTTGCAAGGCTTGGAGTCCTCCAACAGATTACATCCATACCTTGTCAACTTGCTGATGGCATTAACCTCTTTGGTCATGTGAACCAGGCATCCGAGCACGGATCAGAAGGTCCGTGGTTTGAATTCTAAAGCAGGACTTGGAAATTTTATGGCACTCAACATGGGGCTGAACACAAACTTACATAGCTATAAGCAACTCAAGTTAAGAAATCTCATCGATAGTACCAGACTTTTTTTCTGGTCTTTTCCTTTGTTAATGGATAAAACAAATGTTAAGCCTTTTGCCAACCGGTAAATAATCAATCTTAATTAATAGATAGTACATTGTTAAGCCTTTGTCGACCGGTAGAAATAACCTTGAGTTTAGAATAGGTTTGAATCGTTCTTGTACTGCCTAGCTGCAGGTGTGTGGAGAAGGTCATTTCATTTGCATTCATGGTATTTTTTCAGATGTGATTTAAATTTGTTTTATTTCAACCCTGTTTCAGTTTGTATGGAGACTTATCCCTTTAGTCTGCTGCTAAATCCTGCTTTACAGGTTTCTGCACTCCATGGTTTAATTAGATTTTTCATTTGTGTTCAATGGATTTCATTGATTTGTTTTTGCCCCGCAAAGTAGGATCGGTACTGCCGAACCTCCCTAACCACTTCCTTCTGCTGTGAGAGACACAAGTGCATGAAGGAATTCCTTCTGATAGGTGTGAACTCTTTAGTACATGAAAACCTTGAACTTCCATATTTCACAGAATTGAATGTCAATGTAAATAGTTTTATGGACTGATGTTCAAGAAATAAAAAATATAATTCAATTTTTTTTCAGTTCATTTGCCTCATCTGTCGACTTTAATCCTTTCCTTGATGTAGCTTGTTAAGACATATTTATAAAATGGGCCATTTGAGTTGATATTGTTATTAGTTTGGCTGTTGAATTACATCATACAGATGAAGCCTCACCAGCCTTTATGGTCCCTGTGCTCCGTCACTAATGCAGCTGAAACCTGCTCAGAACCCGCGCACCTCAATGATCCAAATGCTTATTGACTAAATACTTATTTCAGGTCATTAGTCTGATATTCCACATAGTTTCATTAACTTTGCCATGTTGGAGCGGAGTTGATTACACTGTGTTCCCCTGCATGTCTGGTGTGTTTCAACAGAGTACGGGATGTCTAGGACGATGATTCCATGGTTTCACTGGAAGGAGGACAAGTCAGCTTCACATGGTTGTCAGTTTGCACCAGATCAGTTGATCATTGTCTATACCTCATGGAAGACCATTGTTATGCAAATTGTAGGTTTCCTTTCCAGATAACTGAATAGACTTCCTACGCTGCAGTGAAAAAATGTAACAGTATTTCTGAGTAGCCAGGAATTATTGCCACCGAGAAAATTCATGATTTGCCCTGCTTCTTTGTTTGTCCATCAGCGCCACTCCCATGCTTTCGTGTTTCATGAAAGCAGTAGGCATCTACAACCTGCATCTGGGCACAGGTGGCCCAATCATCTTAGGTGTCGCAAATTACCATGCAGAGTTGCCTCCCTTGGGCATGTTAGGAACCTGTGATTGTGGGTTTGAATCCTGGTTCACCCTGATTATGTTTCTAGGTTCGTCAGCACCATACTCATGCTCGTCGGTTTCACCTAAGTGGTAATTGTCTGAGACCTTCAATACTTCGGGCTTTCCTACAACATTAAACTGACATGCTGTAATATAATCGGAATACCTTTTATAGTGGTGTTAAACCCAACTTGCTCGCAACCTGCATCTCATTGGCTTTCCTGCCACATTTAGCTGAGATGCTGCGATATAACTGAAATAATGTCCAAAGAGGTATTAAACATCTCACTCACTCCCCCACACAGCGATTATTCTTCAGGACCGCCATTATCTTTGATTACATTGTCTCTGTGCATGGCCTCACCAATAGAGAGCCCACCAAGGAGAAATAATGCCATTCAGCAATATGTAAACGTTCAGATTGGCTGTCATCGAGTGGTGGCCTACATCTCTTGAAAACCTAGAATCCAAATCAGTTGGTGGTCATCTGATCAAGTTTACCTTCGAGACTCTTTACTGAGGAAAGTGACCAATAAATCTGGAAGCTGACTGAGGTCGGCACTGTGGAGTTTCATAGCCTTCTTCTCACCAGGGTATATAGTGCCACCGTAATGGTTGATGTCTTTGCTGAGTCAGCTCAGTTTGTGGGGCAGATTTGTTTAAATCTGTGCATCTCGGATCACAGACTGTGGAAATGATTAGATAGACAACAACAAATATGCAGTTTTGTGGATGCATAGTCTCAGCAGGAAATATTTCCTGATTGATGATTGGTGACTGGATGATTATAAGGAGGGCCTATCTTGCCGCGTCCGCTCAATTTGATCAAGTCTAATCAGAAATAGTTAGGTTGGAAAACATTTAGAACATGCATCAAATATTTCACAGCTTTAACAAATGTTTATAGCCATGAAAATAATGCCTCCGTCATGGATGATTGATAGTTATGGAACTGGGAAAATCTTTGCTGAGTCAGCTCAGTTTTTGTTGCCCATTTGTTTCCTTCTGCTGGGCTCTTACAAGGGAATATTTTTAATGATTTGATGAATCATTTTTAGGTTTTATCAGTGCACAGAAAAACAAGCAAATACCTTATTGAATAGCATCTGTAAAGACATGATGAACAATAGTACAGTTTGGATATGGCTGAGGCAAGTCTTGCAGTCAGCTTAGTGTGCATGCAATATAGTTTTTACTGTCATGTAACTAAGACTGGTGACAAGAATTACTGTAGCATCTGAAGTCATGTCATGTTATTGGTACCCTATTAGTGGAGTGCTACTTTTGCCAAACTAATTAGGACAAGTGTGTAACTGCGATGATGACTGTGTATTCTATCATCAGCAATATATCAGCCATATTGCGACAAGAACAAATTATACATACATTTTTAGGAAAAGTAATTATCAGTACTAAATCCAAGATTGACAAATTGCTCCCCCAGTGTTTTTAAAAAGGGCTTAAATGAATGAAGTATGTACATTTTAAGGAGCTCTGTTGTATTAAGGAGCTCTGTTGTATTAAGGAGCTCTGTTGTATTAAGGAGCTCTGTTGTATTAAGGAGCTCTGTTGTATTGAGGCGAAATCAATGTTGGGGAAATCAATACACGATTTATTATTTTTTATGATTTTGTTTAAAAGTAAATGCTGCATATGAGAAAATAGATTGATATTATCAATTTATTCATCTGCAATAACTTGAGAGTGAACATTTATAATGTTTTTTAAGTTTCTTTTTCTTTGGATCGTAATCTCTTTATTTTAGATTGTGTTCAACGCAGCATCACATCACATCACATCACATCACAGTACCATCACACCAGAAAAATAAACACAAGAAATACCATCACACTCAAAATCTCTTGGCCTTTAGGTTTGTGATAACATTGTTTATGTGTGTACCCAAATATATGCACTTGTGGCAGGTGACCCATGAAGATACCGGGTAGAATAGGTCTTCAATGCTTGCTTTAAAAGGCGACTATGCTTGTCATAAGAGGTGACTAACGGGATTGGGTGGTCAGGCTCGCTGACTTGGTTGATGCATGTCTTTGTATCCCAATTGCCTGGATTGATGCTCATCATGTCAATCACTGGATTGTCTGGTCCAGACTCGATTATTTACAGACAGCTGTCATGTAGCTGTTATATTACTGAGTGCGGCGTTAAACAAGAAACAAACAAACAAAACAACTAGTGGCAGGTGAGCTACAGAAATGTAACCATGGTAACAGTTAACAAAACATCTACTTTGAACTTCATTTACTAGGTAGTTCCTACTGGTCAGTTGCTCTTCACAAACTAAAACCTAGGCTTGATTTTAAACATGTTTCATGATCACCTACAAGACCTGTCTAGACTATGAGTACTACCAGACAATTTAGACAGAAACTTTTGTTTGTTTCAGATGGCAGTCGAGTGGCGAGGTCCACGACCATTGATATATTGTTACGCTCGGACTTCAAGCTGATCATCAATGAGGAGCAGTTTACAGTCAGCCCACCAGAAACACGTAAGGAAAGAGACTGAGTGCATTGTGTGGTTCACAGTGTGATTCTGGAATCAATAGTGCTTTATCTACAGACCTTGGGGGTGGTTTCCAGGCATGATACTAGGTGTGATTAATACAAGGCCAAGAAGAGATGGATGAATATCACGATATGTTTTGGCACTTGGAAGTTGTTTTTTACCAACGCAACTAGTATAATGTTGTCACTCATTAATTGTCTTATGTTTGATAGAGTATAAGGCATTATAAGGGAACAGTTGATAATAGCATTAGCCTGCATAAGTGGTGAAAAAGAAGGGGAGACTGTGAGGAATAAGCTCATGGAATAGGCTATGGTATTTTAGTATTCATTACGTAATGTAGGACATGGGGGCACGGGTGGACCACTCATCTAAGGCGCCGTGATTCGCTGTGCAGAGTTGCGTCTCTTGGGCACTCCAGAAACCTATGATTGTGGGTTCGAATCCCGGTTCGCCCCGATTATGTTTCTAGTTTTGTCAGCACCATACCCATGCTCGTGGGTTTCACCAAAGTGGTAAACGTCTGAGACCTGCATCACTTCGGGCTTTCCTCCCACATTAAGCTGACACGCCGCGATATAACTGGAATATTGTTAAAAGCGGTGTTAAACCCAACTCACTCACTCACTCACTGATGTAGGACATGGGCCACCTGATGATTTGGTAACATGATGACCATGAATTTCGGTATTTTCATCACCATTGTGCATTGCAGTATGTTGGTCCAAGGACAGGGTGGCCATTTGTATATGGCACAGACTTGAATTTAGCATCTTACGTTTAGTCTTTAAATTGTGATAATTGCTAAAGAGGCACAAAAACGGCCCTACGTTGGAGGCTTAAGATCAGTACGAACCATGACATGGCATCATTAACACCATGCCAACAGAACAGGAGAGATTGTTTCCCAGTGTACATCAACGTGACCTTCTCCATATTTAAATGCTGCACATCAAGACAGACACACTAATGCTGTGCAATGAGCAGTTGCTTCTTTTGTGTGATTTGCTAAATGTGAGTTGAAGTGCAGGTCTGCCTCATCTGACAGCCACTGATCCTCTTAGCTGGAATATGGCTCCACCACAAATGTCATACTTGAAACGGGAGCTAATCAGGTCTTCTTATGTGACCCATGTTTGTCTGTATCAAGTCACACTTGATGTGATGGTTACGTTTGTGTCATCTGCAAGTTTGTAAGAAGGATTTGTGAGATCGGACAATATGCCAAAATGGTTGGTTGCCATAGTAATAGATCCCAGTTGTTATGTTTCCTCAGTATTTTTCTGTAGAATGATTCTGATGTTTGAGTCATCATACTGCAGAATGAGATGTTATTTTGAAAATTGAGACATGATATCTGAGTGTTGTTGTCTGAAAGAATTTGCTCAGGGTATTAGTGACTAGTAGTTTTAAGTAGGTAAATTGCATGACAAATAGTCATTAAATCTACAAGAAATATATTTTCTCCGAAACAACCTTTTTATTTTTATTTATTTATGGAAAAGTATGATCAGTATGAAAGCTGAAACTGGACACCTTTTGGATTTAATAACCATCATCATCTTCCTTGTCGTTTCCATTAAGACATTTATCTATCATGTTATCTTTATATTCATGACCTTCAAAGCCATGTGACCCTTTCTTTTATATTCCAGTGTAATTTGACTAAAGAATTGATACCGTATTTTCTTGAGTATAGTGCGCATCCATGTATAATGCGCACCCCCCTCTAGCGGGTTCAATATTTTGGAAAAAAAGAAATTGAATATTATGTGCAGAAAATTTTTACACCGTACCCTTTCAGTGAAGTCCGGCAAACGAACGGGTGCTGAGAAACATTGTCAGTACAAATTCGAAATTTGAGATAAAAAATCACCAGACATGTTTATTTACCGTTTAAATAGTATTTATTGTTCTGCTAGACATTGTTTTATATTTAGGGATTAAGATTACCTTGCGTATTTTCTCGTAAACTAAGCTGGAAACAGCAATCAGCTGTACACACGTTTTCTTAGGATTGACCGGTGATTCGGTCAAGACACACCCAATGATATAACTTTATAAGTTTTTTAATGCAAGGATCGGCAACAATTGTATCTGAAACTATTTTATTTATCAGGAATAATATATTCCATTATTTTCTTGATTATATGCAACCTTTACTAAACATATTTCAAATAATAATAACCCTAAGCGAAGCAGCTGATCGCTATTCCCGGGTATTATTTTTTACATGGAACATGTCTGACCAGTCACCATCAAGGCTCCCGTGCACGTGATCACGTGATCGGGAGAATTTCATGTTGACATAGAATCGTCCAACAAAAACAAATATGACTTTTAACGAGTCAAAGTCCAGATATACAAAGAACACTTTTTATAGCCAGACAGTGTAATTACATAATTATTTTGCGTACTTCAGTATGGATTTGTTGACATGGTATTCCCGGTGTTTCGTGCTCACGGTAATGTCTTTCCATGGGGGAAAAAAACATCCAAACTCATAATTCGTGTATAATGCGCACCCCCTTCTACACAGCTGTGTTTTTTCGAAAAAAAGTGCGCACTATACTCAAGAAAATACGGTAATTGAAATTGAGCTTACTGGAACCTGGATGATTCAATGGTTCGGCAGTATATGATGTATCAACATTATCAATGGATGAATATGTCTCCAGTCGAGCATGTTTGATTCCTGACAGTCTTGAGGGTATGGGATGCTTCATAACCTGGTGAGGTCGCTGTTTCTGAGGCAGCTGAAGGGCATGAATGTTGATGTTGGTGTGTCCATGCAGACATTTGAATGAAAGCCAGACAGAAGATGAGAAATGTTTGTGATGAAAGCCATAAAATAAATATCAAATGTTTGTGAATTATTTATTTACATTCGTTTGAAATAATGCAGAATTCATGTTCCAAAGTGGATGCTGTGTTATGGTCCCTAGAATGATGATTGGATGGGAAAGGTAGTCAGGAAATTGTAGGTCTGTTGCAGCTCTTCACTGCATTGATGGATGGAATATGGTGATTGATCAGAATGTGTTGTACTGGGTTGTGATATTCATCCTGCATGGACCTCCCTTGGTGTACCTTTAATGCTCCGTAGGGATCCTTGGGCTGAATAGGTCCCCTGCTCCCAATGTTTGTGAGAGGTAGCAGACAGAAATGAGCATCAGCTCGGCACTATTTGGGGTTTTGTGCCGTTGTCCTCGGATGCCAAGGATTGTTGCTCATGCTGTCAACCACCTATTTGCCTAGCCTTGGTTACTCTTTCAGATTGCCAAGATATTATTTGAAAAGTCTACTTACTTACTGACCCGTGAAAATGTGGGTTAGAATTGGTCTTTGGGTAACCCATGATTTGTTTCCAATTTAGTCGCAACTTTGTGGCCTGACTGCTGACTGCTGCATGAAGCATCATGTTCCTCCCCACTATCTACAACCTACAGACATTGTACGGACATGCCTACAACAGCTATTCTACCAGAACCGCCTTGAGCCATCCATGCTTGTCCAAAATTGAGATCAGATGGTCAGGCTGTGTGACTTGGCTGATGGCATGTCATCGTACCCTGATCGTGCGGATCTGTGTGACGACTCATGCTTTCAGTAACTGTTTGTCAGGTCCAGACTCTATATTTACATGTAAACAAGAGGTAAACTCACTCACTGCCGGAATACAACAAGATTGCATCCTGTTACATATGTTTGGGATAAAACTTTTTTTAGTAAAGTACAAATTCTAGCACTTTTTGGGGATGAGTCCTATCCAGGATTTGAAGCCAGACTTCTCAGAGTATGGCACCTAATCACGAGCACAAAAAAGACAACAACGTAACCCACTCAGCCATTGAGGATTTCACAATACGAAAGTCCGACAACTGGTACTGTAGAGCTCATACTTTGTGTACCCCTTTGATACGTGTACTTAAGATTGAAACATATCATTTATTTCTGATCCAGAGGCAAATGGATTTTCAGTAAAACTAACTGTCTATGGTTTCCATAGAGGACAGCATGGTCTTCCATCAGTGTTCCAGAGATGTTGCAGAACCCTGATCATTTACAGAGCTGAAGCACAAAACATTTGCCTTGTGATGGGATGGCCTTCAATCTGAAATACTTCTTGCTTTCATGTGTAATTATGAGACACCTGATACATCCTTTGGGATCTGTACATAGCTTTTCTTCATTTTCTATTGCTCCAGTGTAATGTGTAATTGCTTGCATATTGAGTATACCCACCAGAACGATTCTGTTGTGCGAGGTATGTTAATATTTTTACCATGCTCTGATTCTCTGAAACAACACAGCATATGACTTCATATGACACCACTCGCCCCTTTCCGTAACCTGCAAGAAGACTCGTCCCCCTATCGATGAATGTCATGTGCTAAAATAAAACAAACCAATTAGAATTTGCGCATGATTTCAAGTTCTTCGTCAAAGAATCCCTCAGAAATAAATTTTGATTTTATATATGTCTTGCATCTTAAAATATACCCAAGACACAGTAAAATGTGTTCATTCATACTGTATAATTCTGCATGTCCCGATGTGCTGTAACGTGCGTCTGAAATATATATAATATATGGGGAAATACGCAACGAGTTGACAATTGTTTTAGGTATGCCTGTTTGCGCTAAGACGGAACTCGGTCGCAAAAATGGCCATGAGAGGGGCACGAGTCGCTATTTGGCTTTGTCACGGAATAACACGAGTTGGTCACGAATGCATTAGACTTCATATGACACAGCATATGACTTCCATTTGAGCAACAGCATGCTGTTGTAGTTCCTTAGAACTGGAAGATCTTAGAATATTTCTGCAGCAACTCATTGTTATCGTTAGAGGAGACTATTGAGATCAGGCTCACTAACTTGGTTGAAGTATATCATCATATTCCAACTGTGTAGACTGATGCTCATTATGTTAATGTCCGGATTGCCTGGTCCAGACTCGATACTTTACAGACTGCTACCA